ATGGTGGTGGTGGTGTGGCAGATGTACAGGCGCATCACCACCGGTCGGAGGCTTACCGCTGAACGCCACTCGTCTCCAGGATGCTCATGAAGTGATCCGAAATAATGTGAACCCGTCGAAAGGCTATGGGTTCATAAAGCGCGATTTGGAGGAAGAAGCAAAAGCTGTCGTGCTGGTCTGCGGTGGTCGGTGTTTCCTTGCTGTTGTGGTATCAGTAATTTAGCGATAATATTGAATGTAGTGGTAATTTTTATTTGTAATGCACTTATTATTTTAAGTGTGTTATATGACTGTATAATTTCTAGATATGAAGTTTAATTGTTTTGTGTTTAGCTGTAAATTGTAATTATGCAGTTTTAATTATATTGCAAACTTTAATTGTATTGTTTTTAAATGTATGGTAAATGTATGGTTCAGCTGTGCATCTTAAGTAGATGTTTTAATTGTATGATTTTAGTATGTGTCTTTTAACTGTATAATTTTTAAGTGCATATTTTAACTACACAGATTTTTTTTTTCTAATTGTATTGCATGTAGACTGATAAAAGCAATTTTTACAAGCATTTTATAGCAACCACAACAGCAGCATTGCAAAAGGTTTGATGCAAAAAAGTCCTGCGAGTTAATATTTCAAACATAGCGTCTGCGTGCATGTGCAGCGGCAAGAGTTTCCTTCCAGTCCTGGAGTTCGAGGGCTCGATCTCGCAAGTGGAACAGTCAGTATGTTTGCGAATCATTCATTTGTTTTGTTTCTGTCGCATACCGGAGCGCCAGACTGGTCATCGGGCCGCTTCTGACCATTGGCTATCACTGTCATCATCAGCTGGAGACAGTGTAGTCCCGCTGACAGTAAGAGTTCAATCGCACAAACCCATAAAGATTGGCTTTAAAATATTAGCGACGTGGATTGTATGATTTTCTATAGCAGGCTTCCGGCTTTCAATGAACGGAAAATGACGACGCTGCTGCCTTCGCTACTGTCAGTCTTGCAGTTTCAGTTCCAAGAATCGCAGAAGCCGCTGATTTTGTGTTTTTATGCGTTTTTTGCATCTGTGCAATCTACACATTTGTACGGGCCCCTACCCTCGAAATGAACGCACAAACGGTGGATGAAATGTAAGATAAGCGGCATTTTTCCCCGAAAGTAGAAAGAAACACCGGACTACGAACAGAGTACTGGTTACAGCAGCCAGAGAAAAGCTGTCAGAAATAATGATGGAATGAATACGTGGTTCTCAAGCACGAGCACGTGAAAGATTTTGCGGAGAGAAAGAGATTTTGGAAACCACACAAGCTAAACGGCTGAAATTTCACGAATATATTCCCTGCCCACGTCCAACCCGAGGACTTTAAATTCAACCTTCACACGCCTCTAGGTCTCATGTGCATACACGTCAAAGTTTAAAATGACATTGTGCCAACGCGAGAATTAAGGTACCAAAAGGTTGTGGAGAGCTGTAATTTCGTAATTTTGCTTCTCGCCCACTGATGTGCCCATGAATGTAAATTGAGTGAAAGTAAACTGAGCTTTCTAGCCCCTTTGCATCTCACGTATGAACACGTGAAATTTGACGGGACTCCACAATCAAAACCGCCAGGGTGTTCATATTTCCTGAACATGATCCATGATCGTGTTTGGGCAGACGCTTAAACTTTCACGTCTCCTATCACGCACGAATCGTGGGATCTGATGTAACCCTGAAAGCAGAACAGCTACACTACCGAAATTTTCAGAGGTTGGCCTTCGAACGTGTTTGGGTAGATGCACATAAAGAAACTTCCCAGTTTTCCTCACACATGATCACGTGAAATTTGACGTAACCCTGCAACCAAAGCAGCTGGAGTGCTCAAGTTTTCGAAGCATTAGGCGTTACCTAGGACCGTGTTTGGGCAAGCATACGTGAAAACAACTTTCACATCCTTTCCACCTATGAACGCATGAAATTTGACATACTTCCGCGACCGAAGCATTTAGAGTGCTACATTTTCTTGAGCATGGCGACAACCGAGTTTATTAGGATTTATTGTAATAATCTCTGAAAACCGTGGTCGCTAGACACAATTCTTTTAGCTAGAAGCATCTGGAAGAAGAAACAGTATCGTTAGCGAAAAAATCCTGTGGAGAAACTGCGCAAAAAACGCATAATGTCAAGGAATTGCCGATATATCTGCTTGTATGTGTGTATGTCTGTGTGTTTTCGGCATTTAACAACATCTGAAGCCAGGAAACCGGAAATTTACAAGGATGTTCCTAGCCCGCTTGCTTTCCAGACCTTTGAAACTCAATGTTCAAGTACAGCGGGAGCTCACATACAGAGGCTTGAAAAAATAATGCAAATTTTTTGGTGAGGGCGCGATAAAAAATAGACAAGATAGGAAGTTGAAATTTCACAGGGATTTTCTTTGTCCTTGTGTGGCTAAAGATTTCAAACTCAACTTTAAAAATGGCTGCGTTACGATTACGGGCACATCGAAGTTGCAATTTCGTCACTGCTGGTACAATGGCACTTTGATAGCCAGGCTGCTTAACTATGAAAATAGTGGCCGCCCACACGCGGATACGCAGGCATAAGATTTGGCTCGCTCCTGTATGGCGCATTTTGACACGTCAAAGCTGTTTGTAACAAAAGGCGATTCGCCAACGTTTAGGCTAGGAAGCTGAAATTTTACGAGGATACTTTATGCTCACGTGCAACCGAAATATTTGAATTTCAGGTTCAGAATACGCTAGGCCCCTTGAGCGCGCAAGTGAAAGTTCAGTTTGGGACACTGTTTGGCACCCAATTAACTCGATAACCGAACTGGACAGGAAACAATGTTTACTGTTTGTGTACGATCCAACAAGTATAAAATGAGCTTCTGTCTAGGCACGGACCTTGTGTACAGGTATATCAAATGTCTAAACTACAACACCGCAGTTACGCCCCAATAGTATAGGCTACCTCTCTACAGGATGGAATCATGCAAAAACGCATGGTCTTATCGGCAAGCCTGGTGCGTCGCCGCTTAGATTTTTATATCGATGTGAAACAATGGAGCGAAAGATGGTAAAGCAGTGTTTTAGTGCCATTTATAAAAGTAAGACCATGAATGAATTTCTCGCAGATCATCGTTTTAGCTTCTGAACAGCAGCATTTTCAATAGCAACTTTTACTTGTATCAGTTTTTACAGCATTGCATACACAATGGCAGTAGTAAATGCAAAGCGGCAGCGATTGTACAAGAAAAAATTCAAAAATGAATATGTTTAGGCATATTAAATTGCAATGTAGGTGCAGAAACTTTTGTGATGAAAAGATTCCTGACTACATCTGGGAACTTATTACTTAACTAGATCATAAAGTCGTTGCAAGCACTGAATCTTGTGCATTCCAAACCAGTCACGGTTAATTGACGGAGCAAACAAAGTGTATCTGAGAAAGGAGGAAGACTGCGGCAGGTGCTCTTCTCTACAGGGCACTTTTAGTTCTTGTTTCAAAAATCCTTTTTTCCTTTTTTTTCCAGAGGTCAGACGAGTGAAAGAGTAATAATTTCTTATTTTCATTTCTTTGTTCTTTCAGTCTCTCATGAGCAACTGCCGTTTGCCACGCAAAGTAAATCCTGGCTATGCCCGTGAGGGTGCAGGATTAAGGTGTACAAAAATTACCTTCTAAATATAGAATACACAGGTAGTTACACACGTGCATATTTGAACAACGACGCAAAGATGAACCTTTGCTTTATGGTGATCCACAGCCACGCATATGAAACCGCACAATTAATTAAGCAATGTGATAACGCAAAAGCTAGCAGTTATGGTGGTCCAGAATTCGCTGTGACTCATGTGCGCAATAACAAGGATTCAAAATATGCCATTGCCACTAAAACACACTAATAAACATTGTTTTCACGCCGTTCCCCAAGATTTACAGCCAACAATGCAGCCAGGATTTGCAAAAAAAGTTCAAAAATTTCTTCATATTTGAGTGACGGAGAAGCACATTTAGCAACAGCGCGTTGGCCGCACAGTTTTTTTTTCTGTTCAGCTATTATATCTCCTCCATAAACATTTAAGCACAGTAGACTTTTGGCATTCTTTTTCTGCGAAAAGAAATGTCGCAACAGGAAGACTGGTTCTCATACCTGTTACAAAACCGGCCGATTTACTGCAGTTTAAACACAGCACTTGCACATTTTTGCTCGGATTCAACATAAAAAATGTTAAAAACAAGAAATTTTTCAAAATTTCACATAAGTCAGCACATTTTCTGTGAGACAGTTTGGGCCAGCCACAAGTGTGTTCATTAAGTTTGCACGGCCACTAGCTTATCCAAACTGCTCGTTGATGGTCAAGACAATCGCCGTGTAATATGCCAATTACGTCATCGCTGGACAAGAATCAGTTCGGTTTCTTCTGTTACAAAACCTACATCAGATGTAACTGCAGACAGCCAAATAGCATTTTGTGCAAAGTGCAGGAATGCAGTGCGCAAAATTTGGCGCAACCTTATCTCTAGTCGATTTATTACACAGTTATTATAACCAGATAAGGTAGAAAATGTAGGCAGTGTCAAAGCCAGGGCAGTTTTCACTGATGCGAAAGGAGGAAGCAGGTAGAGGCAAATGGATAAAATTTGCGTCATTTCAGTGGGCTGAATTTCCTTGGTCCTAGAGTATTTTTCTAGCTTATATTTTGAAAATAAAAAAATGACAAGTTAAAAAGATTTTCGAATCGGATACGAAACATAAAAGACGATCAGATATTGGCCCAAAAAGGAAGCAAACGGCCGTTACAGATGTTGACTGAAGCAGAAAGCGTGCTCACGTTATTCTCCTTCCTCCTCTCTTCCCGCATGTCCATCCTGGCTACAATAGTACAGTGTAAAAAATTTAAAACAGCCATCTACGCTGATGGCTGCATCCACTGGTGGATGAGCTAGCAAAATATGAAACAGTTAGTTTCAGAATTCTGAAAAAAATGCTGAATTTCATATTACAAAGGATGAAAAATAAAAAAAAAAAGTCGAAGCACACAAATTTATTGAGCAAAAATTATTTTAGAAGCAAACTGGATTGGTTGAACTCAGCGCGTTTTCTCGGATTATGGCAACTGTTTCGTCCACTGGGCACGATACTGCCGATAACGACGATCGAAATATGTGGGCATGTATAATTTTTTATCCCAGACATACTGCTCGCGCCAATCCTATTTTGTGGACGTTCATATTGCACATTTAATAGTAC